AACCTGCGCTTCGCCAATGACATTGCATTGCTGAGTAACTCAAGGGACGAATTGCAACTCATGATTATGGAGTTAGACAAGGAGAGCAAAAAGGTGGCTCTTGAAATTAATCTGCAGAAAACAAAAGTAATGTACAACAACCTCGCAAGAGAGCAGCACTTGGAGATAGGTAATAGTGCATTTCAAATTGTAAAAGACTATGTCTACTTAGGGCAGGTAATAACCACGGAGCCGAACCACGAGATTAAAGTAACTAGAAGAATGAGAATGGGGTGGAGCATACTTGGCAAGCACTCTCAAATTATGACAGGTAGATTGCCACTATCTCTCAAGAGGAAGGTATATAACAACTGCATTTTGCCGGTACTTAGGTACGGAGCAGAAACCTGGAGACTTACAAAGAGGGTTCAGCTTAAATTGAGGTTGACGCAGCGAGCAATGGAAAGGAGAATGGTAGGTCTAACCGTAAGAGACAAGAAGAGAGCAGAGTGGATTAGGAAACAAACCGGAGTTAAGGATATCGCAGTTGAAATGAAGAGGAAATGGACATGGGCCGGGCATGTAGCACGTAGACAGGATTATCGCTGGTCATTAAGGGTAACTAACTGGATTCCTAGAGAAGGCAAGCGGGTTAGGGGGGGACAGAAGGTTAGGTGGGCAGATGAGATTAAGAAGTTTGTGGGTATAAATTGGCAGCAGCAAGCACAAGACCGAGTTGACTGGCGGAACATGGGAGAGGCCTTTGTCCTGCAGTGGACGTAGTCAGGCTGATGATGATGATCTGGGCACAGATGATTTAAGCCAGAAAACGTTGCTGTGGAAGGCTGTTAATGGCCAGAATGACTTTAAAAGCAATGGTGAAAGCTTCATTCAATGTGGGAAAGGTATAGACGGCTACAGCAGTGCTTATATAATCTGACAATGTGAAAGAAACTGACGGCGAGTGTAGCTTTTGTATGGATAATCATGAAACTACAGCTAGCGCTCTTTGCCTTGACACAGTGAAAAAAAAAAAGAGAGAGAGAGAGAGATGCACTCGGCAAACTTAGCTAAGGCCTCTAGGTTTATGGTCAATAAAAAGCAGATGCGATTGAACATAACTATGCAGTAAACAGCAAAATAAACACTACATAACAGCACACACACACACACACACACACACACACACACACACACACACACACACACACACACACAAAACTTGCAGGGTTTCTTATGCATTCACCCAAGGCAACCTGAAGGCGACAGCTGGTCTGTTTCTTTTTGTTTAGTCAATTTATTGGTCCCCCCTCCCTGCGAATGTTTTCTATGCCTAAAGTGGCTTTGTACTGATTTATGACTGGAGGCATTCTAAACTTTCAGCACCTCACCTGGTCCTGCTTGGCCTCCGTGATTGTTGGGCCGTTCAAACGATAACAAAGCAGTGCAAAGCCATGATGTCGTCTCATGACGTGATCATGGGACCGTCCTGGTGACCTTACACATTCTGGTGATCTGTGATGTCACAATGACGTCGTGTGGTGACACTATCACGTGATTATTTTTGCATCACTCCTGTTGACGACGACGCCACGGGACGACAAAGCCACCAACGGTCAATTTTTGTTTTTAGGCTAAAACCTTAGACGTCTCATCAAAGCGTGAAACCCGACCGTTTGCGTCCCGCGTCGGCGACGTCAAGTGATAGAAAAAACCGCTGCGTGATGACAACATATATGACGTCAGGCATCACCAAAAATTGTGAGGTCATCAAAACATCACGTGGCTTCACGGTATCGCATGACATCCGAGCTTGGTCCAATGTGCTTTCATCATGGAGGCAATGCAATATTAGTTTCCCACTGCCTCTGTTTTTGAAGGCAGTGCAAACCTCGTTAGTTAACGCAAGTTTTCAAAGGGTGGTGTGAATGGTGGCGGGCTGGAGTGTCGGCCGGAGGGTGCAAAAGGGGCACTGGCCCCCTTCAAGCCACACTGGTACCTGCCCACGCCTAAGCTACACCAGTGCTCTCCCACAGTCGCGACGCAACACGGGTTCGCACCGACGGCAAAACTCTGCTGACAGTCATAGACTAGTGGGGTAGATCAGTACATCCACTGTGAAGAAAAAGAAGATAGCCTTCTCTATCAAATTATCTTAGGCGGATGAATAGGGGATCCTGTGAGTTTATAACGAGGTATCTAAGTCTCCCACCTTAATAGATTCACATAGTTAATTACAAGGTAAACGGCAAGTGTAAAATCCCTGCCCCGTAATCACAGTGAGGACACATATAACGAAGGTCCAACTTAGCTGCAGCACCACAAACATCGAAGCGATGAAGTAGCAACAAGCAATGAACGAATAATATAAAAGTTGGGGATTAACAACCTAAAACCACCACGCGATTATGAGAGACGCCGTAGTGGAGGGGTCCAGAATTTCAAGCACACGAACCTAAAGCATTTTTGCCGCAATCAAAAATGCGACTGCCGCGGCCGGGATTCAACCCCGTGACCTGCGGGCTAGCAGCAGAGTGCTTTAGCCACTAGACCACCGTAGCGGGTAAGCAATGAATGAAACGTCCAGTGACTTTCATGTATTATCACATATCCGAACCGAGCAAGTGTGTCCGCCACTTTCCTTATTCAACGTGTTTAGTGATGATTAGGATTATTTGCGAGGAACAACACAGTCTAGTGTGCGTGAACGAAAGTCAGAGCGATCAGAAGAAGCGTTTCTTCACAATAGCAGCTCCTTACACCAGCCGAAACCACTCGCGGCACGCGATGAAAGCAGGCGAGAGCGGGAAAGCGTCGTCTGCTCTGGCCACCGGCTCCGCTCTCTTATAATGCTTCAGCGCTGATCCACCAGGGGAAGGCGCGGCGCTTTGATTTCTGGAAAGGTCCATAGCTCCAATATTCACGAATTTCACGTTCTAAGAATGAGTTTTATTACGCGGAAGCAGTTGATGTTGAGAAAGGTCCTGGAGGGCCACAACTTTGTGACGAGTGGCTGGGTGCAAGAGCCATAAAGATCGCTGTAACAAGGGTTTGTGCTTGCTGCTTCAGGTCGATGCCCTGATTCAATCAGAGGACTGAAACATTTCTTCCATTCCTCTTTTGTAGCAGCTGGAGCCACTGGCTGTGGAGGTAAATTTTATGATGTGACAGCGTTCACTTATCGATCAAGATGACGCTTCTTCATTGCCGAGGACACTAAGTAGTCACTGGTCATGCATGAATTTTCCGACGAACGGAGGAAGCCAACTGTTGGGGCAGTCTGTGCCGGAGTGCTAATTTCTCGTGCACATATGCCGTATTCCATGTAGAACAACAGTGCAGGAGGATGCGATGATGCTTCGCCGTTTCCGGCTATGCATGTGTAGTGCATGGCAAGGACCTCGCTTTCACTCTGGCCCATGAACCAGACGTCGACAAGGCGCTTTTAACGTTCCAGGTGTGGTTAACCTGGGCAGAAAAAAACACTAGCATCTATGGCAAGATCAAATCGAATTACTCGACATGTCTTACTCGAGTGACGACGATCACGGTGTTGGCGGAGACTTTCTTCACATGACTCCCGCACCCAGCCGATCGGCACAAAGTTGTGGCCGTCGAAGACCTTTCTCGACTTCAACTGCTACCAGGTAATAAACGTCGTCTTTAGAACGAGAAATTCGTGAATGTCAGAGCTATTGACGTGTGGTCCCATGTCGCTCACACAGTCGCCCGTACGAAGCGTGTATGGGTCAAGTCCACAGTCTCGTCTTTTCTTCGTACAGCTTGTGGTCTTTTTGGCGCAGAGTTGCGGCGTAGTTTTTCGGTAACGCTGACGCTGCGCATGTGAGCTACGCCTGTGCTCGCAAACGCGACTGCACTACTGCATAGAGCCCTGGACGGGCCTGACTTTTCGGCTCGGGCTCACTTGGTGAAGCCCCAAGCCCAGCCCGGGACTGTGGTTTCAAGGCCAGGCCCTGGCGCTCATACTAAACTTACCCAGGGTGCACGTGTTCATAACTATGCCTACTTGGGCCCACTAGAAGATATTAGTTGATGATTAATCATTATTGACGTCTTGTGATTTGTAGCGGACGAAAAATACAGTGTGTACATGCATCGAAATATTGTTTTCCCCATGGTGGTATCTCAGTGGTTAATCTGTTTCGCTGTTAAGTTCTAGAATGTGGGTGCGATTCCTGCGGCTATGGTGGCCGCATTTTGATGAGAGCGAAATGCAAGAACACCTGTGTACTTGTCTTTAGGTGTTTGTTAAAGAACTCTTGGTGGTGAAAATTGATCCAGGCCCCACTATGGCGTGCCACGTAATTGTATACCAAAGAATATTAATCGAATGACGCCTATGTGGCACATGGCAAGTCATTACAATAATAGTATAGTGGAAATAAAAATAGAAGCCTTAGTTATCTAAAAGAAGTATATAACTAACATGAGAAATTGGATAGAAGCAAGCCCGGCACATTTTCTTTAGTGCTCTTATCTACACTCTCATTGGGAACATCAATCACACACTTTTTTAAAAGAGGTTCCCGACTAATAATTAGCTACAAGCAAGATAAAAAGGGTTAATATGTTTATATGGTGAAGAGCTTCCAAAAGCAGATGAAATATAAATCCCTCATAATCTGACTTTGTCACAGAAACTTAACAATTATATGATTAAGCTGCTATACACCATACTTGATGCTATTCCATATAAAACATTTCACGCTTCTTTGTGAAACGAAGATAGAAAATATGCATAAATCAACACCCAATGACACAAAAAGACCGGACCCAGCCGCGGCCCAAGCCCACGCTTTCAAGCCCAAGCCCAGCGCGCCTGAAAATGCTTCAGACGGCCCGGGCTGGCCCAGGCCCGTGCGGTGGTCAACTACTGCTCTAAGCCCTGGTCGGCTCTGACAAAAAAATTGCTGGGCACGTCGCTGTCCATGCAAGCTCCCTAACAATGGTTTAACATATGAAGTGTCACTGCCTATATGATGTGCCACATCATACTTATATGCGTCCTCTACTCTTTTATTTTCCCCCTTTCAACCCACTCACTCACCATTTCACTGAAGGCATTTTGAACACTACAGTGTGGACGTCAAGCATCATGCGTCCAACAGTAGTCCTACACAATTAGTACCAAGACCTCTTTATGTACAAACATTACTGGTCGCAGCAGAATCTTGAAATGCATCCCGCAGTTTTCTCTTTTTATGGGTGTGTTTATTATTACCCCACCTTTGTGGCTCCTAATGAAATGACTCTGAGCCAGTGAGCGAACACTAACGGCGCTTTTTCTTCTTTTTGCATCGGAAAACGTTACCACTGAATTTCCTTTTAAAATGCTTACGCTCTGCTGCAGTTCTCTGTGTGCACTCTGTGCTTTTGTGGCCGGACTGCTTGCAAGCGAAGCAAGTGATGCCCTTTGACTGGCAGTCGTGTCCTGGTGGGAGGCACCTGTCGCACGTGGAACAGTGCTCGTTCGCCTGTTTCACGCACACGCCGCAGAGTTCGCAGTGTCTGTAAGGTCCACCGTCTTTAGACGGGCAGTTGTTGCAAACGGTGCAGTGCTCATTGTGGGGGGCTACCCATCGGTCGCACGTTCCGCAAAACTTGTAGCCGGCGCCCTCTGGTAGCGGTATCTGTGCCAGAGGCACGTCGGTGAAGATTCGCACGGGCGACCCCTTGGCCCGCTTGCCGCCGTCACTGGTGAAATCCGCGTGGTTCTCGTAGTCGACGGCATAGTCGCACATGCGCAGTCGTGGCAAGGCTGCTATGATGCGCTTTTCGTTAAAGTACGGAAAGAACCAGAACACTTTGAGCTCGCAGTCCAGAGTGGCCGCCTGCTCGGTGAGATGTTCCAGCGTCCTCGCGACGGCATCCACTAATCCTCCAAACGGAGGATCGACCACCACGGCGCAGCGGCGGCCGGTGAGCAACCTGTCCTTGACCACCGCCTCCGATGGTTCGCCGCGAAAGTGGAAATTGTTGAACATATTGAACCAGCAGAACTCGTCGGGGCCGTAGAACTGCTCGTACGCCTGCTCGATGTCCAGAAGCAAGGATTTCACCTCGGGATGTTCGTTCCTGAAGTGTTCGTGCAAAGTCGGCGTCCCCACGCAGATGACGCGATCGAAGCCCAATCGCGTTAACGTGTCGAGAACGAAACGAGCAGTGGAGTCCGAGAAGAAGTACTGGGCCTTCGTGGCGTTGTTAAGATCGGCGTGCAGGAGACGGCTGGGTCGCCTCAGGTTTTCGTCCGAAACTGGGTTCGTGAACGAGTGCCCCGAATGGTGCTTCTTCAAGTCCTTCTTCGATAGCAGCGCGCGGCAGCAGAAGTATCGCTCGCGCGGCTCGCGTTTCAGCAGCTCCAGGTATTTGTCGTGCAGTTGAGCGTGCGTCGAATCAGGCAAGACCCGCCGCTTCACCGCGTTCCACTCGGAGTTGCCGCAGCGCGACGCCTGCTCCTTCCAGAGGAAGAACGGGCAATCCTTGCGTCGCCGACACGCCGAGCAGGCGTAGAAAGGGCGTCCGTCATTTTTGCCGGAAATTCCCAATCGTCTAAAAAGCAGCCCGGGTCCGTGCTCACAGCAGGGAACGTTGAGGGAATCATCGTGCAGCAATTCGACGCAACTCGTTGCGAAGTTCATCGCGAGACGCCTTCAGCACTTATACGCGTACCAGCGAACCTACATGATAGCATAGAACGAAACTTAACAAGTCTCGGTCGCTTTTACATAGCAAATGTTTAGACACACGCATCATTTCATGCACAAAACTCAAAATAGGTTCGACGCAATTACCTTGATTCTGATATTGCCAACCGATTTCCCGTACTCGAACATTGAACCACGCCGCCCGCCATCAATTTGCGCCGTAATGCTGTTGTCGTTGAGCTGACAGTTTCGAAGTCAAAGCGGCAGAGCTTTTTTCATCTAAATGTTACATTAACTTACAAAATTTACTTTTAAATATTAAATTTACGTTTATTGTTAGTTTTTGAGTACTAACGTTGCAAGATAGCAGTGGTTAGGTAGTGCGTTGATGTGGCTTTGCAAGTACTCCGCACTGCCGAGTTTCGCCACTTATGGCTTCCTGGGCTCCCGGGCTGAAGTGATTGCGTTGACGATTAACTTATCTCCGACGATGGCTTCGTTTTTCGGTTTAGACAAGCTTCAGCGGCTCTCGGCTATCATCAAGCACAACGGTGGCATAGCGAAGTCTGCGTTCAAGCTTTTTCGGTAAGACGCAGTTGCTCTCGTCTGACACGGTGCGCACGAAGGTCAAAAGAAGCAAGTTTCGTTTGGCCCCGGTTCCCGATTTAACCGTCCACCAAGTTGTGATATTTTCCCTTGTGCACTGATGATTGCAGTGTTGATGCTTTTCTATGCATCTATGTCGGGAAACGGACAACCCGTCTGCTTTTGGTGGCAACGTAAGCCCATGCTGGTAGCTGCAGTAGCAGCGAAGAAGTGCACACCGATAATGAAGTCGGACCGCCCCACTAAAGTTCAGGGGGAAGGAGAGGTCCTTTTTACAAATGTAGGTCTCGGACATTTGTTGTCCAAACAAATTTAAAAATAACATGTGCTCCGCGTACCAGATCGTGTTAAGAAGGTAGCGCTGTTGAGCACCATCCCGTATATTGCAGTCTCGTACAGGGCCGCTTGAATAGAATTTCGATTTACTAGCCAAGTTATTGCATTGCAGCACGCGTTTTTGACAGCGTCACGAATGTTTCAAACGTCGTCATGACAGTATCACCTGCGCCAAGAACAAAGACGGCGCTTAATTTTTTTTTTTCATTCTTAAATGGTGCCACATATGCGCCAACTAGGCCCGCCAAGAGGAACTTTTATGCGAAACCTACTTAGGAATGACAAGAAATATCATGACAAGAATATCATGGCCACGAAAAAACAAAACATCATTGAACAGCATTGCATGTGCTGTAGCGCGAAATGGTTTGTGTGCTGTGCAGATACTGGCACAGTGTACGATCAGTTTCATTGTACGCCGTAATGAGTCAGATTTGCATCCTCAGAGCTGACCACTGTGTGGGCCACTTATCACTTATTTACTGTGAATTGCACATTTCCTCATACCACAACTAGTCCGTCATTTGGTCCTTGTGAACCGTGCTGTGGCATTTGTTTCTTAGTATGCTTTTAGACGCGATGTTTCAGCCTTTCAACTAATTAGCCTTCATTAAGTAGTTATGTTTTTTTTTCTATCTCTTCCAGAATGGATGATCTACGAATGGGCACTCTTGTTGGCGTTGACAAGTACGGGAACAAGTACTACGAGGACAACAGGTTTTTCTTTGGTGGGTATTGCTCGCATCGATGTTTCCCTAGTCGCCCAAATTTTCTTGAAGTGAAAAACTCCCGTTGTCTCATGCTCTACAGGTCGCAATCGCTGGGTGGAGTATGCAGACTACTACTACTTAGACTACGATGGTAGCCAGGTGCCGAGTGAATGGTAAGAATGGCGTACTGATCATGAAGCCAACGTAGAAAAACCATCATTTCGACATTATTGAGCTGTTTGCTTAACTCTTATAGTAATTACAACAAATATACTGAAGTAGTCATGCACTGCAATATTCATAATATTACAGACTCCTATCAAGCAAACATCTGCATTCAGCTGTTTAAAGAAGTCTCTATTAACTTTGATAAACTTTCTGATCAATACCTTAGCAGATGCCCAGGATACAGCTTGTGCCATACTTCAGTAATCATAAAAAGCCCAAGACAAATTATGGGATGCAAGTTATTGAATACAAAACTGTGAACTAAAGTAATGTGTAAGCCAACATTGTTGATGTAGCCAGGAATTGTGTAACGAATTAGTTTATTTAGAGGAGCACCGACAAAAAATTTGAAAAGCAAGATAATGAGCAAAGTAAATTTATGTAGGGACACACAAAACATCCATGAGATATCAAAGCCAAATATAGCCAAGAACATATTTAATATAAATTTTAAAGTGCGCGCCGCGCGACTGAACGAGATGCGGAGCCCCTTGCGACGACGACATCAACGCAGGGGCAATGTAAACAAACCTACGTCACGAGTTTCTGTTGGCTGGTTGCTGGCACGTGCCTTTCACTACCTGCGATTTCCTCCTCTATGCTGGCGGCTTCGCGTCTGCTGGCCATCAGTGCAGTGCCCGGTCTTGTGCGGGGCACCCACGTCACAGGTTTGTGTGGTCACGTGGCCAGCCATGCTCACCTTGCCCCCGAAACTGCTCCCGCCTAGTTTGGTGCTCTCTGAAACCGAATGCTGTAAAAAAGTCTCTAAATAAATGAGTCATAAACTCGTGTAAACGAGGTTTCCAGCCGTGATAAGTGGATCATAAGCTAACTATTGCACTAAAAAAAAGCAAGATGCAAAATTTTTGTGTCAGTGCTCTTTAAGTATGTCATACCGAAGATGTCTTTTTTTTAATGCAGTAGCATTAAAGAGCTCGTTTTTTTCACAAATTTCGACGTCGGCATTATTGGTTGCAAGCGACAAATCATCCTCGATAGAGACAAAATGTGGCTGGGATTCAATGCCGCTACCTTCTTGTCAGCAGCCGACCACCACCATCACTAGACCACCGTGGCAGAGTCATACAGGCAATGAGGGTGGCTGACGTTTGCGAAGACTCTGAGAAAGTGTTTGCCAGTCGTAGTTATTTGCTTCTTGCAGGCACGGCTGGCTGCATTACATGACCGACCTGCCACCCACCAAGAATCCTCCTCCGCAGTACAAGTGGCTCGCCCCGCACACAGAGAACATGACGGGCACCAAGGACGCCTACATGCCCTACAGCACCGTCCGCCCCAAAATTCAGCCGTGGGTGCCACCCAAGACTGCCAGGAAGTGAACACACTAAAAAGGAAGTGCATTGTAGACCTGTGCTGTTGTAGGTGTATCAAGTGCTGCGATCGCTCACTCTTGACTGTACATACTATAATTGAGTCAATAAACGGACTAACACCATTTTCGGAGCACTGTCACGTACTGCTTGAACAGCCACGCAGCAAGGACAAGTTGTCATTGGAGTACAGATGATAAATGTTGGCATTGGCAATGCAATTCTGTTCCTAGTTTGGCAGTTGATTACAAAGGTTTTGCGTTCTTTGCAAAATGTTTCTGGCGCCTTAATTTTAATCTTGTTCTGCATTTGGAGCGTCTTTTTCTCAGGGTGGCACTGGGCCGGGGGTCAGGGTAAACCTGATGTTTCCTTATGTCGCATTTGGAATGAAACCAGAGCTGTGGGAATAGCAAAATCTTTGGTTCGAAGCGAATTCGACTGTTGAAGTACGAATCAGATAGATTAGTCTTGCAAATACTTAGAAAAATTAGAAAAGAAAAGGAGAGAATTTCAAAGCATATTCTCATGAGAGCAACATAAAAGTGTTTCTCTTCACTCTGTTGTTGAAGCGTTTGTGGGGTGGTGTTTCATAGTTGTCTTATGAAGATGAGGAAATGCAGAGACCTACTTGTATTTATGTACACGATTTAGTGCAACCAATGTGTTGTGACAACACTTCACACGCAACAGGCAAAGAAGCTACACCCTCAGCCTCTCCTCCTCTTTAAACTTCTGTGGAAGCCCAACAAGTGTGACAACAGGGTTGTGCTTTTTAAGTTGGGAGTTCCAATTCTGTCTCGTTGACATGAATGTATGAAACCTGTGGGAATTGAGGCTGGCCCGCTGCCTTTGCGCGGGCTTTGCCGCCTCTTTTCTCATGTCCCGACATGCCTACCCTCCTTTGCTGTCTGCCGCGCTGGGAAGGGCGGAGTGACGTTTAACTCCCTCACCCGGTAGCGGATGTTGACTGTGGCGCCGCGCGGGGAGCCTCCCGAGAGGTTTTCGCGCGCTGCGTCGGGAGCAGTGAGTACAGTCCGGGACTTCAAACGGTGAGCCACGCATTCTTTTCCGTCCGTCGAGTCCCGTCGCTCGGGGCTCGTCGGACTTCGCTGACGGCGCCTCGCGCCCGATGCGAACGCTCACCTTTTGTTGCCCCGCTGCGTACTCACGGCCGAAGGGCAGTACGGTGTCCTAGTGCGTGGCCTAGCTGCGCCGACCCGTCTCCCTTCAAAGCCAACGCGAGCGCCTTTGCCCTCGCTCGAGCGACCGGGCCCCTTTGTCCCGGTGTCTCCGTGGATCAGCTTTACCGCGGAGACGTGCTCGTGGCACCCTGTGTAGTACTTTGTGCCCGTGGCGTGGATAAGCCTACTTGCTTTCCCGCCGCGCCTATTTGCAACGGGCTGTACTGCGTTTGGTGTTGCCACAATAAAGTGTTGCGACTTGAGCAGTATCGTGTTTCCCGCCACGGCGACGGTTAACGCGTGCCCTGCGGCTCGCTAAGACCGGACCCACGCTGGTGGCCGTACTCCTTCGGGATACGTGTACACCACACTGGCGCCCAACGCGGTATCAAAAGCTCTAGCTTTTGATTGCTCTTAGCGAGTCAGTTCGCCTGCGCGATTCGGGCTCGTCGCAACATGGCTGCTTCGCGGGACTTTTGTCCGCTGTCCCTTTTAGCGGATGCCGCGTTGCACACGGAGGCCATTGCCTCTATGAACGGGAACCCTTCTGCACCCGTCCGTGTCGGCACCCCCTATTGCGGTGACGACACGAGGCGCCTAGCCGCTCCCTTTGGAGATGGCGCGTCGCTTCGGAATGGGCCTCTTGCCCTACCCGAACGTTACGCACAAGCGCCTCCGACACCCATCCGTGTCGGCACCCCCTATTGCGGTGACGACACGGGGCGCCTAGCCGCTCCCTTTGGAGATGGCGCGTCGCTTCGGAATGGGCCTCTTGCCCTACCCGAACGTTACGCACAAGCGCCTCCGACACCCGTCCGTGTCGGCACCCCCTGTTGCGGTGACGACACGGGGCGCCTAGCCGCTCCCTTTGGAGATGGCGCGTCGCTTCGGAATGGGCCTCTTGCCCTACCCGAACGTTATGTCTGCTTCGTGGCATGCCGCGTTGCACCAAGAGGCCACCGCCTCTATCGACGGGCGCCCTTCGGCGCTCGCCTGTGTCGTCACCCCTTTTTGTGGTGAATACACTCCTACGTGGTAGCTGACGCGCTATCTCGTGCCCCTTGTTGTCTGCCGAGAACCTGGATTTCGGTGCGACGGCCGCTCGCGGTGCCTTAGCACATGCAAGCGTCGGGGGCGAAACAGCAGCTTCGCCGCCATTCGGCGTGAAGGGTGAGTCCCCATGCGGACAAACCTTGGCTGCTAACCAGGTAAGCGGCGCACCGCGAAGCGGCCGAGCGGGGGAGCTTTCCGAAGGCCACGAGGCCGAGAGTGAACCCGTAACGCCGACTCACGCGGCGGTTGCTGCGGTCCTGAGTGGGCGCGATACCAGACTCCCCCATTTTGGGAGAATGGGAATCGCTTTCAGCAGCGAAGAGCTACTGAAGGCTCAGCAAGGTGATCCGTTTCTAGTCTCGGAGGGACGGAGCGCCGTATACGCTGCTTGCTTTGCGGCGGGCGCCGTTAAACCGTCTTGAGAGGCGCGCCGTTACGCTGCTTGTTCTGCGGCGGGCGCGATTAGGGGGCTGAAACAGCGTGTGTCGCTGAGTCCCCGGCGGATTCATTTTGCTGGACCATGACGGGCTCCTGCTGAAATATATAGCCACTGACGACGAGTCCATAGACCCGTTTAAGGTGGTTATGCCCAAAAGTCTGAGAGCCGCACTGTTGCGATCCTCTCACGACGAACCCATGGCCGGTCACCTGAGTGGCTCGAAAGTTTTTGCAAACTGAGCAATGTTGTGACCTGGCCCGGCACGAAGCGTGGCTTTTATCGCTATTCCGTGCCTGCCACGTCTGACAAACGGTTGAGCCAAGGGTTGGAAAGCCGCCCGGTCTTATGAACCGATTGTCAGTGAGCGTCCGTGGCGCGTACTAGCTGAAAGATCCCCTTTGGGAAAACTCAGCCGTGCCCACATCGCAGACCTGAAGCCCTTTGTCACGGTCTGACGAGCTCGCGCCAGTGCCCTGCGGCACTTCGCGCAAGCAACGGGCACACCCGGAGCGACGGACCGCATTCGGACCCCGCGCCGCTATAATCTGAGGAAGCGGTCACCTTTGTGATTTCGCGCCGGACGGCGGACTTCTCCGCAACCGAAGGCCCTCAGTTTACTGTCTAGCCTCAGTATAGGTTAGCTTCTTTACGGCCTTTTCTCGTAAAGAAGTTGACCCCGCCCTGTCTGCTGCCAGTGTTTCTTTTTTTTGAAGTGTTCATGTGTATTTTATGTTTCTTTTGTCTAATATTAAGTGTTATTTGTGTTTTATGTTTTTCGCCAAATGTTGAGTGTCGTTTTGCTCTGTTTTTACTTTTTTTTTCCGTGTTCGTTTCGTCTACCGCGAAGGGAGCTGTGTGTGACCTTGTGTGTCGGTGCTTGCCGGGAGAGAGAGAGACGATGGACGCTTTGCGCCTACGCTCGCGCAGCCGTCGGCGGTGTGTGTGTGTGCGTGCGTGACGCTTCAGTGCGAGCCCGAAGAGTGCGTCATGGCTTCCCCCCATCGATGCGGACGCTGGAGGTGCTGGGGGGGCATTGACCCATTGACATCAGACCGTCTGGCTGCGCTCTGCTCTCGGCCGCCGTCGAAGAAGCCCTGCTGCCGTTCCCACCATGGCTCCTGCGCGAGGCCAGCTGAAAGCAGCTATATGCTGCCGGCCAACGCCAGGGCGCCTCGCAGCCAATTCGGGTTCGGCCTCCCTGACCACTGGAGAGGCCCGGCTACCCGCAACGCCCAGCTCCGTCATCGAGCCAGAAATGCGGGCGGCCCCGAACAACCGAAGCGGCTTTCGTCGGACTCGCGGCTTATCGAGAGCAGGAACAAGCCATCAGTCAGCCCCCTTCCGGTACCTCTGACCTCGCACTCGGGCATCGCACCCAGCGGACACTGTCACGCCTTCCCGCCCCTCCGCGCAGTGGACGCTATTCCCCTTCAGCACCACGAACACTAGTGCCACGTTTCTGTGCTCCCTTCCGCAGTTATTAGTATAGTGTCATGTGTTTATTTTGTTATTTATGTTTTGTTTCTCCTTGTAATCATTTTTTTAGCAGCAGTAGCAGGGCTGGACTGAGGTTAGCTGTCGCTCATAGCAGTGTCATTTTAACTGCATGGGTGACGTCCGGCTGCCTTTTGCAGACCGGTAAAGGGCAAATTTAGGAGAGGGGGATGTGGGAATTGAGGCTGGCCCGCTGCCTTTGCGCGGGCTTTGCCGCCTCTTTTCTCATGTCCCGACATGCCTACCCTCCTTTGCTGTCTGCCGCGCTGGGAAGGGCGGAGTGACGTTTAACTCCCTCACCCGGTAGCGGATGTTGACTGTGGCGCCGCGCGGGGAGCCTCCCGAGAGGTTTTCGCGCGCTGCGTCGGGAGCAGTGAGTACAGTCCGGGACTTCAAATGGTGAGCCACGCATTCTTTTCCGTCCGTCTAGTCCCGCCGCTCGGGGCTCGTCGGACTTCGCTGACGGCGCCTCGCGCCCGATGCGAACGCTCACATTTTGTTGCCCCGCTGCGTACTCACGGCCGAAGGGCAGTACGGTGTCCTAGTGCGTGGCCTAGCTACGCCGACCCGTCTCCCTTCGAAGCCAACGCGAGCGCCTTTGCCCTCGCTCGAGCAACCGGGCCCCTTTGTCCCGGTGTCTCCGTGGATTACCTTTACCGCGGAGACGTGCTCGTGGCCATGACCTACTACACTCCTGACCTGCCCAGAGAGCACCTCTTCCAGCGCCCACGTTCTAGTTCATACCTTCTGCCGCTAGGGCCGTCACCTACGAGCGGCGTGGCGCTAGGCAGCACCTGTTCGCTGTCGTCTGCTTCAGCCATCGCTGTGGCAGTGCAAATCGTTCTTATTGTGCATGAATTGTGTATGAATGTGTAAAATATGGCAAATAAAGCGATATGATTCCTCGTCAGAGTTGGCTGCATTCGTGTGGACGTTTGAAGCAGAAATAGAACCGTAA